GGGCCGAGCGTGGCAGAGCCTCGTGGCTCAAAATAGTCCCTGGCTGCCAGAACAGTGTCAGGAAACGGCATTGTGGGGGTGGGCCGGGCTCGTTTCAATCATATCAGTGTCCAGCCTGGATTTTGGGAACAGGGTGATTGTTGTTTTGCAGGAGATATTGTAAACAGTGTAAATTCAGCTCCCGGCTGCATTGCTGAGTAGCCTTGTAACTCCATTGTCAGCCTGATTGTGCCACCAAAATAGGCTGTTTCCGTGTGAATCTGTGCTGGTGGGCACTTCTCCTCCTGGGGGGGGGTCTGGGGGGGACGGCAGCACCAGAGACCTCACCTGGGCAGAGCTACCGGCGTCCCACTGGGAGCAGGACATGGGACGTGGTGCCCCAGGGATGGGAGCTGGGAAGCAGGAGCAGGTCTGCAGCTCCTGAAACTCTGGTCCAGCTCCTGCCAGTGCCGAAAAACAAGCGGCTGCTGGGACGGGGAATGAACTCCTGCTAGTGCAGAGCTCAGGGCTTTGCCTGAAAGCCTTCGAGCATGGAGTGAAATCGCCATCGAGGGGATCGATGGCTGTCACGCAGGCAGTGCCCGCTGGGTGTTCAGGGCTCCTCGGAGCAGGGGACACCAGCAGCTCTCAGAACGTCTGTGTGAAGGTGATGGTCTCCATCCCCACATGGGGAAGGGCTGTTGGCCAAGGCTGGTGCAGGGATCCAGGCTGGAAGGGCACCGTGCTGGAATATGGCTCCAGGGCATCATGCTGGGCTGATGCCAAGCGGGGAGGGGGTGCAGGCGGGTGAGGAGGGGGTGTGGATAGATGTCCCCATGCATGGTGTCCCCTGCCCACGTGCTGCTGCTGCAGGGCTGCTTTGCAGACAGCCGTCTGCTCCCCTGGGCATCGCAGGGAGCCTGGAGAGGACTTCCATCCCCATTCCCATTCCCATTCCCATTCCCATACTCATTCTCATTCCCATTCCCATTCCCATTCCCACTCCTGTTCCCTTTCTTGTCCCCATTCCCATTCTCATTCCCATCCCATTCCCATTCCCATTCCCATTCCCATTCCCATTCCCATTCTCACTCCAGCAACCTGGTGAAGGGCAGCAGCAGAGTGGGTGCTTTGCCATCTCCTCCTGGCAGGGTGGGGACCCTTGGGGAGATTCCCCCTCGACTCCCCTGTTGAGTGAGCCCAGGGAAGGAGGGGGGGAGATGGGCTAATGGCCTCTTGACATCGGCTCACACGCCACGTCTGCCCGCAACCGCGGGGCAGTCAGATTGAAAACAGATTTAACTTCCCAGATATATCGTTTCATTTAAGGGCCAGTAATTCTGTCAGTCTGCCACTGACAAACGAGGGTCCCCATGCCAATCCGCCCGGGGAGACTGATGTCGTGGCGTTCATCTCGTGTCACCAGGCAGAGAATTACGGACTGCACTGGCCTTCGGAGGCAAGACTAATAATGCCGCGCGGCAGAGGGGGATTTGGGGGCCTGCTTGTTTATCGAGGGCCGGCCAGGCAGCCGCGGCGCGAGACCGCGCGGGTGGAGGTGGAAGAGGTCAGCGCTGACACCCATAAATACGAACTTTAACTGAGTCTAGATGAGATGTGTCAGGACTGAGGGAAGATTTGCAGCATCTCTTCAGGAAGAAAAATATGGGCTGGGGGTGAAATATATTTTGTTGGGTCATGAGTCTCAGGCAACTTTGTCCTTTCAGATGTAATTTTTTTATATATATATGGAGAGAGATAGAAAGAAAAATGTGCGTACACACACACACACTTGCACACTCACATTGTGTCTGGCTTGAGTTTGGTTTACAGACACGTATCTTGCCTGGTTTCTATAGGTGTTGCTGCCATATGTACGTATAAATGTTGTACAGGGGTGCAGTGACCTTTAGATTGGGATGAGCAGCCAGGAATGTTAAACAAATTGCTGTGATTTCAGCCCGAAGGCCGGGCTGGGCTGGCCGTGCAGCGGGTCCCCGTTGCCAGTGGAGGGGCATGGTGTGGCCATGGGGAGGGGGTTGATGCCGGTCCCCTCCTCAGCCCCTCCTCGCCGTGGGGCCAGGGCAAACCACCCTCCCAAGACAAGCACCAGTGACCAGGGAGGGGGACGCTGAGGGCAGCGTCGTTCCCAGGGCCGAGGGGTTCCTGCGGGTCGCAGGGGTCTGCCCGCTGGGCT